TGGAGGGCTGCTTTTACACTCTGCTGCACTTACTTATCATGTGTGACTTCTCTGCTGAGTTAAATGCACACATGACCAATGTGTGCAGACATAATGCTGAAAAGATGTAGCTTAAAAATCATCCTCCAAGGTCTTAAAATGTATGGATGATATAGGAAAGAATTTACATTGTGCAAGACATGGAACAGTGTTTCCTGGAGTTACTGGTGTTTGTCATTTAAAAAGTTATGAGATCAGACCAGAAATATCCTTGTTAATATTCATCACTAAGGTATCACGGAAGGACAGCCGGCGTGTACAGTTACAGAATGAAAAAAGACTATCAACAGGTCATCATGTCATTGGGAAATGTAGTAATACAAAGGGGGCCTAATTTTAATGTAAGCATTGAACAACTGGCTGGAAAGATCAAACTAATCCTTCATAAGCTGAGAGAAAGAGGAGATTCGTGCTACTGACCACCTGATTCTTTTCAGTTTGTACCATGCTATTTTTAATCAATGATAAGAATAGTTGTTTGAAAGGCTGCTACAGCAAGTTGTACTAAGCCATTTTCCCATGTCTTGGCTCTGCATCAACAGGGGGCGTTTTGGTCAAGTTCACAAGTGCACAGAGATATCAACTGGTCTCAATCTAGCGGCCAAAATAATAAAAGTGAAAGGAGAAAAGGAAAAGGTAATGATGTGTGTGTAGCTGGGCAGTCACTGCACTTCTTGCTTATTACAAGACTCTGCACATCCTGTTTTAGAGTCTGTTTAATTTGTAGTACCGCATGGCATTCTGCAAAACCAATCTTAGCAAATATTTACTTAAATTCGATATATACGGTTTGTTCATGTTTGTAATCTCATGTTTGGTGTTCACCAGCATGTGTGAGATCAGGTTCTTGTTTGCTTGAGGAGTCTGGGGAATGGCTGTTTTATATGAATGCTCTTATGTGAATGTGTGCAAGAGTATTCATTCTTAGCTGAGAGTATTTGCTACTTGTGGTTCACCATTTGCTGTTTTCCTGTTCATAATATTTCAGGAGGAGGTGAAAAATGAAATTAACATCATGAACCAGTTAAACCACGTGAATCTGATTCAGCTTTATGATGCTTTTCAATCCAAAAACAACTTCAGCTTGATTGTGGAGTAGTAAGTTCAAATGATATTAGGACCTAACAGCAGAACTTTGTGATTGCTCTCAAGCCATTGGTGGGTATGAGAAAATGCATCAAGGTACAGGAAAAATTATGAATGTTTCTGGACCTGAGTAAGGGCTCCTTTCATTTTCTAAAGAAAAATGTATATTTTTAGGAGCCAGCTCTTTAAGGTAAAATGATTATATGATATGATTGTAACTTAAAAGGTAAGAATATCATTTTGTATTCCAGAGAGTATAGAAGGATTTATAGGCTGTCACAAAAAGGACTTCAGTATGTTTTTTTTTCATTAGTGAGGGTATGGCTCATAGACACCACACAACAGTATCTACCGGGATCCATAAGGATTACTGGTGTTAAATTAAAAGTCATAGTGGAGATAGAAGGAACAGAAACCAGACGAGAAAGGTGTGTTTACAGCAGCTTTGAAAATGAGACAATAGAGAGTAGCAGTGAAATTGTGGAAGCTCAAATAGGAGAATAGAACTGGATGAGTAGAGAGAGTGGAAACAGGAGAAGGGTTTGGAGAAGGGGGGGGAAGGAGAGAAACAGCAAGACTTTTTTTGCAAATACGTAAGTGCTTAAAAGCGCAGATAGGCATCTCCTGGGATTTTCCTAGGTGTCTTGTCTATTGTCTGCAATCTAGGCACTTTGGATAATTCAACTAGCTGCATTTTTGCATGCTCGGATGCATTGCAAACCCTGACCAAGAGAGATTTTGGTGACAGGTACTCTACAAAAACTGGAGCTAGACAGTTAATGTAATCTGGGATAAATTCATGACATTTTCACACTCTCGATATTGTGAATAATAGCTGAAGATGACTCTACATTTGGATTTTATTTTAAAGACAGTGCTTTTTATGGGTGCAATTATAGCCCATTTCAAGTAAATAAAATAAGTAAATAAATAAATAGACTGGCTGAAAATAAAGTCAGCAGTTTCTTGTTTTAAAGAAAATGGGATCTTCAAGGAAAAGTGGTGGCAGAAGAATTGCATTGCCATTTCAGAAGCGATTGGTTAAATGCTCTAAATAGGGATTACAAGGGAATACACCCAACTACACATATTAATGGATGAAAAGGAAAATAAAAAACATGAAAGACATTTAGAATAAGGATATTTAAATCTGCCATTTATTTTCTTCTGTTATCTTTCTGAACTCATCCCAGTCGCATCTTGAATTAATTTCCATTTAATATTATATATACAGTAACATAATCTTATAGAAAATTGGCACAGGTTATAATCTTTTCTTTTCCTCCAGTCTAGTAAAATAAGTAATGAATAAGTGGATGAAATTTGCCAGTACTAGGTTTATAGTGTTGTTAATTTTTCTTTGAATATGAGCAGGAAGGTTGCAGTTCATCAAGGTACTTAAACTGATGCCTGATTTTAAGCACATGAATAATCTCACTGCAATAAGTGGGACTACTGTTGTGCCCAGCATTGTGTGTTATATCTTTCTGAATTAGGGACATTGTTTTGACTTCAAAATTAATCAAACCAACAATGAACTAGAATGGATTTTGCATTTTTTGTCATCATTTTAGCCTAGATGGAGGTGAGTTATTTGACCGAATCACAGATGAAAACTACAGTCTGACTGAGTTGGATGCAATACTCTTTACCAAACAGATATGTGAAGGAGTTCATTACCTACACCAGCAGTATATACTCCATCTAGATCTAAAGGTCAGTAATTGCAGATTTTAACTTGTTTTGCTGACCTACAGTTTGTGCTGTGTAGAGTCCACATGGATGACAGTTGCAAATATATGTACAGGGGTCTTCCTTTTCCCATTATAATTTATTTTTAAACAAAATAGACTGACTTAATATAGCTGCTGCAAAGGATATTGGGAATTCATTTTTTTAATTGCTCATTTAATGGCTCATCTTCAGTATAATGAAATAAGCAACAGGTTCACCTGCTTTTGCAGGTTTTAGCTTAGAAACTTAATTGCTCTTTGTCTTGGCTTGCCACCTGAGAGAACCAGTATGCCCTGCATAGCTTCATCCCATTTTTTTCTATAATTCTATGTTAAAAGACCTGCCATCTGTCTTGTCTTTTCCTGAGATGTTTGTGCATGTCTGTGGTTGCCTGCGTGAACCTGAGGCATTGTAAAATGCTCATATGTTCCAATGATGTTTCTTCAATAGATCTTTGAAACAGGGGCTCTCATTTTATTCATTTCTTTATATATTCGTATGGTGCTTAGCACAAAGCAAATTATGCTGGCTATCCTTCCAACAGCTGGTAGGGTTTTTTGTGTGGGTGGGTGGCCGGTGGGGTTTGCATGAAAAAAATCTTTTATTTCAAAACTAAAACTTTTTCTTGTGTCTGCCTTGACCAAGTAAGCAACAGCTTTGCAGGTTTCTTTTTGGCCTTCAGGCTTACACCCATGCTTTCTGACTACACCTTGGGTTATGACCACAGCCACCTGGCCCACTAAGCCATTCCTTTCCAAAGGGATCGGTCTTGTCTTTCTCTAAAAGGGGTATCCTTTCAAATGCATTATATAATCCCTCAGCTGTGCCAAAGCTGGGAATAGTAGTTCATGGTGGCAGGAAGGAATTCTAATTCCTTTAGGGCAACCATCCCCTTCCATGGTGATCGTGGAGGGAGTGGTAAAGTCCCTCTGGAAAAAAATCTCTGAATATTTTACACTTCTTTTTCCACGAAATTTGCCTGATCAAAAATACAAGATGCCTTTGCAGAGGTGGAAGAGGACATTTACACATGTGAGCTGTTGGAAATGTGATACTGTTCCCCCTCCAGTTCCTAAGTAGATCTGCAAAGTAGTTTTCTCTGCACAGGCTGCCTAGGCAACGCTGTGCCCCAGATAGGCATAGCCAGTCTGGGAGAGGACTACAGCTCTGCACTGATGTTTATGCTGGAGTGGTGGTAGCAGTACTGGCTCAGTCAGCATTAACAACATCCACAACTGCCTGTCATCTCTATCGTGCTGTCCCTGTGAGAGTGTACTATGTAGAACAATAATCCTAGACTCTAACATTTCCAGCAGCTCCTTCTCACAGGATATGTGTGAAGAGGACATGCAGCTCCACTCATATAAACTTCCTGGTACTGATGTCTCATCTCTGACCGCCTGAGACCCGAGAGGGGAATTTCAAACAATTGGTGCATTCAAAGGCTGGCTCCAAAATGAAAAAGAGCGTAATGCAAAAGGGCCAGAAGAACTCTGCAAAACACTTGAGATTGCCAATGCAGAAACCCATCAGTTGCTAGAACAGACTCTCATTTCCTGATGTCAAATGGTCTTGCTTTTTTGGGATGTGATTATTTTCCTTGAGGGGGGACCACATCCTGAGTCTCTGCACAGTTATTTTCTTAAACCTCAGGCCATATTTTGCCTTTGATTATTTTTTCATCAAACGCCCCTTTATATCTATGTAACAAAACTTTGCCTGTGGTGCAGGGATAGGTGAGAGCCCTAGGCAGTGAATAGCAAATGACACCTTTGTTCTAAACTGCTGTAGGGTGAGATTGACTTGTGTGATGGATAAATTTGTTCTTGTGAATCAGCAAAGAACCTGAATAGAATTGCTTTCAAAATCTTTCCCCTTAATTTGTTCTTTATCTTTGCACTTCAGGTCATGTTTCTGGCAACTCTTATTGTAATAATGTGTTTCATAATTCCACTGTCATTTATTTAACTAAAATAATACTGTTCTCTGTTTGTAGCCTGAAAACATATTATGTGTAAATCGCACTGGAAACCAGATTAAAATTATTGACTTCGGATTAGCTAGGAGGTAAGGCAGTTCAGTTATGAACTAATCAAAAACCAATGACTACTTATTTTTTGTTACAAGATTTGGTTGTACACTGTGATGTTAAAATGATTTTGAAATGTGACTGAGTGATGCAATATGCTCCTTCAGGCATGAAGGAATATGAAGCATTGTGCAATAATGATCAAGTTATCCTTTCAAATGACACTTTTGGGGGCCCAGAATTACATTAGTATTTTAGTTAACTCAAATAATACCCTGTGAAAAGCACTTACTCCAAAGAGTCTTTGTGAAATAGGAATTGCGTGGCTCAGGTTTCCCTTAAAGGCTCTACCTGTCACCTTACATAAAGCCTGCTCATTATGGTTATGGCTAAGGGGTGAGAATATAAAGTGAATTAGTCACAAGTCTGCAGTTTAATATGGCTGTAAATGTGGCAATATTGTTTTGGTCTGTATAAGTAAATGCAGCGCATCACAGAGCAGGGGGTAATAATAACCTTTCTAAGGCACTGAGGTGACTGCACCAGGAATAATGCTTTTACTTCTAGATGCTACATTACCAAAAAGATATTGCCTAATTGATGGAGACAGAGTGGTACAACAGGAAAAACGGGGCTAGATGGGACTGACTTAAAGACAGGCAAAATGATTCATATGTACAACTTGGCTAAATGAGAACAAAGGGCAGGCATTATCCTCTATAAATGTTTAGAGCCTAGACAATGACACACATGTACGCTGATGGAAAAAATAGTAGTAGGCAGATGATTAATAACTGCTACACT